GAGTGGGCTAAACACTGTGGGTGAGAGGGCTATTCAGTGAGTGTGCAGCACACTCTGTGTAGGTGGGGCAGGTGGGTAAACTGACACGCGTCACGTGAATAGATTGCGGAATGAGTAAATTAAAGTGGGTTAAGTGGGTTAGCAACGTAATTAGTGGGCAGGGGAAACGATTTTACCGATTATCATTTGCCATGAGTGGGTAAGGGTCAGTGGGTGGGTACGTCAGTGCGAGGGAGGGCTGGAGTGTATTTAAGTGGGTTGGGTGGGGCATTTGTAATGTATATATCGCGTTAAAATTTACTACAAGTTAGTGGGTTTGGACACTGCAACAGGGCAATAGGGTGATGCATGTGGNGGTCGGGTGAACTGGTGGGGTGAACTGGTGGAGTGAACTGGTGGGATGAACTGGTGGGATGAACCGGCGGGGTGAACTGGTGGGGTGAGTTGGTGGGGTGAACTGGTGGAGTGAACTGGGCGAGTGAACTGGTGGGATGAATTGGTGGGGTGAACTGGTGAGGTGAACTGGTGGGGTGAACTGGTGAGATGAACTGGTGGGGTGAACTGGTGGGGTGAACTGGTGGAGTGAACTGGTGGGATGAACTGGTGGGATGAACCGGCGGGGTGAACTGGTGGGGTGAGTTGGTGGGGTGAACTGGTGGAGTGAACTGGGCGAGTGAACTGGTGGGATGAATTGGTGGGGTGAACTGGTGAGGTGAACTGGTGGGGTGAACTGGTGAGATGAACTGGTGGGGTGAACTGGTGGGGTGAACTGGTGGAGTGAACTGGTGGGATGAACTGGTGGGATGAACCGGCGGGGTGAACTGGTGGGGTGAGTTGGTGGGGTGAACTGGTGGAGTGAACTGGGCGAGTGAACTGGTGGGATGAATTGGTGGGGTGAACTGGTGAGGTGAACTGGTGGGGTGAACTGGTGAGATGAACTGGTGGGGTGAACTGGTGGGGTGAACTGGTGGAGTGAACTGGTGGGATGAACTGGTGGGATGAACCGGCGGGGTGAACTGGTGGGGTGAGTTGGTGGGGTGAACTGGTGGAGTGAACTGGGCGAGTGAACTGGTGGGATGAATTGGTGGGGTGAACTGGTGAGGTGAACTGGTGGGGTGAACTGGTGAGATGAACTGGTGGGGTGAACTGGTGGGGTGAACTGGTGGAGTGAACTGGTGGGATGAACTGGTGGGATGAACCGGCGGGGTGAACTGGTGGGGTGAGTTGGTGGGGTGAACTGGTGGAGTGAACTGGGCGAGTGAACTGGTGGGATGAATTGGTGGGGTGAACTGGTGAGGTGAACTGGTGGGGTGAACTGGTGAGATGAACTGGTGGGGTGAACTGGTGGGGTGAACTGGTGGAGTGAACTGGTGGGATGAACTGGTGGGATGAACCGGCGGGGTGAACTGGTGGGGTGAGTTGGTGGGGTGAACTGGTGGAGTGAACTGGGCGAGTGAACTGGTGGGATGAATTGGTGGGGTGAACTGGTGAGGTGAACTGGTGGGGTGAACTGGTGAGATGAACTGGTGGGGTGAACTGGTGGGGTGAACTGGTGGAGTGAACTGGTGGGATGAACTGGTGGGATGAACCGGCGGGGTGAACTGGTGGGGTGAGTTGGTGGGGTGAACTGGTGGAGTGAACTGGGCGAGTGAACTGGTGGGATGAATTGGTGGGGTGAACTGGTGAGGTGAACTGGTGGGGTGAACTGGTGAGATGAACTGGTGGGGTGAACTGGTGGGGTGAACTGGTGGAGTGAACTGGTGGGATGAACTGGTGGGATGAACCGGCGGGGTGAACTGGTGGGGTGAGTTGGTGGGGTGAACTGGTGGAGTGAACTGGGCGAGTGAACTGGTGGGATGAATTGGTGGGGTGAACTGGTGAGGTGAACTGGTGGGGTGAACTGGTGAGATGAACTGGTGGGGTGAACTGGTGGGGTGAACTGGTGGAGTGAACTGGTGGGATGAACTGGTGGGATGAACCGGCGGGGTGAACTGGTGGGGTGAGTTGGTGGGGTGAACTGGTGGAGTGAACTGGGCGAGTGAACTGGTGGGATGAATTGGTGGGGTGAACTGGTGAGGTGAACTGGTGGGGTGAACTGGTGAGATGAACTGGTGGGGTGAACTGGTGGGGTGAACTGGTGGAGTGAACTGGTGGGATGAACTGGTGGGATGAACCGGCGGGGTGAACTGGTGGGGTGAGTTGGTGGGGTGAACTGGTGGAGTGAACTGGGCGAGTGAACTGGTGGGATGAATTGGTGGGGTGAACTGGTGAGGTGAACTGGTGGGGTGAACTGGTGAGATGAACTGGTGGGGTGAACTGGTGGGGTGAACTGGTGGAGTGAACTGGTGGGATGAACTGGTGGGATGAACCGGCGGGGTGAACTGGTGGGGTGAGTTGGTGGGGTGAACTGGTGGAGTGAACTGGGCGAGTGAACTGGTGGGATGAACTGGTGGGGTGAGTTGGTGGGGTGGATTGGTGGAGTGAACTGGTGGGATGAACTGGTGGGGTGAATTGGTGGGGTGAACTGGTGGAGGAGCAGCAGGTGGATACATTTCCTCGCAATGCAACATCCTCATAGCCGCCATAGGTTATTTCATTTATTTTATTTATTTATTTATCTCCTAAAATTAATGCAATTCGCTAGCGCGCGTATGCGGCCCTGAACTGCCATAAAACAACCCTAAATCACCCGCATATTGCGAACAATTCAACAACGCGGCGGCCGTTGCGGCCGCGAACTACCATAACGCTGCTCTAAACCAACTGCTAATTGTGGACAATTTTGCGCCGCTGCGGCCGCGAACTGCCCTAACGCGGCTATAAACCACCCGCCTATTGGGAAAAATCTTCGCCACCGCGTCCGTGAACTGCTATAAAACGGCTCTAAATCATCCATCAATTTATGACAATTAAGAGCCGCCGCGGCCGCAAACTGCCATAACGCGGCCCTAAATCATCTGCCAATTTGTGACAATTTAGCGCCGCCATTTCGAATGGCTCGCCGCAAATATCTTGCGATGATAAATACATTTGTTCGATGGCGGCCATTAGGGACGGCCATTACAGGCGGCCACTAATTGCCGCCATTGTGAAGGAAGACACCTCGATGTGATTGCCGGTGGAAATACACACCTCGGGATTGCTGGTGGAAGTACACACCTCGTGATTGCTGGTGGAAATACACACCTCGTGATTGCCTGTGGAATTACACACCCCGAGATTGCCGGTGGAAATACACACCCCGAGATTGCCGGTGGAAATACACACCCCGAGATTGCCGGTGGAAATACACACCCCGAGCTTGCCGGTGGAAATACACACCCCGAGATTGCTGGTGGAAATACACACCCCGAGATTGCTGGTGGAAATACNCAACATGCATCATGTTCAACACATGAACAACATGCATCATGTTCAACACATGAACAACATGCATCATGTTCAACACATGAACAACATGCATCATGTTCAACACATGAACAACATGCATCATGTTCAACACATGAGCAACATGCATCATGTTCAACACATGAACCTGTCTCTTATACACATCTAGATGTGTATAAGAGACAGACCCTTGACTCGCTCCTTGACTCACTCCTTGACTCACTCCTTGACTCAACCCATGACTCACTTCTTGACTCACTCCTTGACTCACTCCTTGACTCACTCCTTGACTCACTCCTTGACTCACTCCTTGACTCAACCCTTGACTCAACCCTTGACTCAACCCTTGACCCACTCCTTGACTCACTCCTTGACTCAACCCTTGACTCACATAATAACCTCCCACTGACTTCACTGCAAGATTTTCTCCCACTGACTTTACTGCAAGATTTTCTCCCACTGATTTTACTGCAAGATGTCTTCCCACTGACTTTACTGCAAGATATCCTCCCACTGACTTTACTGCAAGATGTCTTCCCACTGACTTTACTGCAATATTTTCTCCCACTGACTTTACTGAAAGATGTCTTCCCACTGACTTTAGTGCAAGATATCCTCCCACTGACTTTACTGCAAGATTTTCTCCCACTGACTTTACTGCAAGATACCTTCCCACTGACTTTACTGCAAGATACCTTCCCACTGACTTTACTGCAAGATACCTTCCCACTGACTTTACTGCAAGATATTCTCCCACTGACTTCACTGTAAGATATTCTCCCACTGACTTTACTGCAAGATATCCTCCCACTGACTTTACTGCAAGATATCCTCCCACTGACTTTACTGCAAGATATCCTCCCACTGACTTTACTGCAAGATATCCATCCACTGACTTTACTGCAAGATTTCCTCCCACTGATTTTACTGCAAGATATCCATCCACTGACTTTTCTGCAAGATATCCTCCCACTGACTTTACTGCAAGATATTCTCCCACTGACTTTACTGCAAGATATCCTCGCACTGACTTTACTGCAAGATATCCTCCCACTGACTTTACTGCAAGATATTCTCCCACTGACTTTACTGCAAGATATCCTCCCACTGACTTTAATGCAAGATACCTTCCCACTGACTTTACTGCAAGTGATCCTCCCACTGACTTTAATGCAAGATATCCTCGCACTGACTCCTTTCTTTAAAAAAGATATCCACCAAGCGTTTGCTCCACTAAGGCTGCTATCCAGCCCTATCCTGGTGCAATATCCTTTTCCACTGACTTCCCAGTGTAAGATTCTTTCCAGTAAGAATTTCTTGCACCAATATTTCCACTGCGCTTTTCTACGATCTTCTTCCTGTAGTTTTCAACTTACGAGTTTTATTATGCGATTTTTTTATGTTTGAATTGCGTTTGTATTTTTTTCGAAGTATAGTTAGTATGTTTTTTATTGAGTTTGAGTTTATGTGAGTTTTTTGTGAGTTTGAGTTGCGATTGTGTGGGTTGTTGCAGCCATCAGCGCCGGCGCGTACCCCGTAATTGCCTTGCCGCTGCCGTGTTATTACGCCGCTCTTGTTTGGACAGACTCAATGCCCCGGACTTTATTAGGCGAGACTTACAGCCGCCTCAAGACCGGCCATTATAGTCGCCATTATCGTCGGCCAAAAGTCAGGTGAGAAGTTACGCTATTTCATGCCAGTTATTTCCTTTACGAGCCCGGCGAGAGTGTCGGGCATTGTTGGAGCCCGGACACCGTGCCCGTGCAATATACCCGTGGACCGTGCTTGCTTTCCGTGCCCGTACATGCCCACTTACCGTGCCCGTTTCCGACGTGCCCGTTTGACCCCAACGGCCCCTGCCTCGCGTATGTCTTTGTATTAACTTTATTCGTCATTTTACCCGCTATCTAACCTCAGTTTCATCTATGTTATATAAGTGAAACGTCATCGTCTGCCAGTTGACTGCAGTTTTACTAAAAAAAGTAATTCAAATTATTTCTTGAACAAAAATTCCAATGAACTTCATTTTGAGGTGTGTTCTGGAAGTGTGTTCTGGAAGTGTGTTCTGGAAGTGTGTTCTGGAAGTGTGTTCTGGAAGTGTGTTTCTTGCTTTCCGTGCCCGTACATGCCCACTTACCGTGCCCGTTTCCGACGTGCCCGTTTGACCCCAACGGCCCCTGCCTCGCGTATGTCTTTGTAATAACTTTATTCGTTATTTTACCCGCTATCTTGTCGAAGTTTCGTCTAAATTCCATAAATATAATGTCATCGTCTGCCAATTGCCCGTAATTTCCCGGAAAAAGTCAATTCCAATCATTTTTTCAAACAAAAATTTAAATAAACTTTATTTTGAGGTATGTTCTGGAAGTGTGTTCTGGAAATGTCTTCTGGAAGTGTGTTCTGGAAGTGTGTTCTGGAAGTGTGTTCTGGAAGTGTGTTCTGTAAGTGTGTTCTGGAAGTGGGTTCTGGAAGTGTGTTCTGGAAATGTGTTCTGGAAGTATGTTCTGGAAGTGTGTTCTGGAAGTATGTTCTGGAAATGTGTTCTGAAAGTGTGTTCTGGAAGTTGGAAGTGTGTTGGAAGTTGGAAGTGTGTTCTGGAAGTGTGTTCTGGAAGTATGTTCTGGAAGTATGTTCTGGAAGTGTGTTCTGGAAGTATGTTCTGGAAGTGTGTTCTGGAAGTGTGTTCTGGAAGCGTTCTGGAAGTTGGAAGTGTGTTGGAAGTTGGAAGTGTGTTGGAAATTGGAAGTGTGTTCTGGAAGTGTGTTCTAGAAGTGTGTTCTTTAAGTGCTTTCTGGAATTGTGTTCTGCAAGTGTGTTCTGGAAGTGTGTTCTGGAAGTGTGTTCTGGAAGTGTGTTTTGGAAGTGTGTTCTTAAAGTGCTTTCTGGAATTGTGTTCTGCAAGTGTGTTCTGGAAGTGTGTTCTGGAAGTGTGTTCTGGAAGTGTGTTCTGGAAGTGTGTTCTAGAAATATGTTCTGGAAGTGTGTTTTGTAAGTGTGTTCTGGAATTGTGTACTGGAAGTGTGTTCTGGAAATGTGTTCTGGAAGTATGTTCTGGAAGTGTGTTCTGGAAGTGTGTTCTGGAACTGTGTTCTGGAAGTGTGTTCTGGAAGTTGTTCTGGAAGTGTGTTCTGGGAGTGTGTTCTGGAAGTGCGTTCTCTCGGTTCCCACAGTTAGCGCAGTGAACGCTCTTGCAAAGCGCCTTTCTTTTCGCAGTTCAGAAAGCAATTTGCACTAAACTGACATGCCCAATTGTCTGGGAAATGTGACCTACCCTCGCTTGCTGTCTCTCCAGTTCTTCAGGCGCTCGTTTCGCGGCCGTAAAAACTGAATCACACTCTAATAAATAAGTGAGACTTTGTCTAATTTCATGACCCGGTTGGGACCGGCTAAAGGGCGCTCAATGCTCGTGCGGTGGGTGAGGGAGTCCGTCACCATTCGGAAACATGACCCATTATTTTTTATGAGTGCATATTTACATCTGGTAATCACCGGCCGTTCAGTGGCCTCTGATAATTCGCCTCTTAAGTCTAATTTAAAGTAATTCCCAATAGAATTTAAGCTTCACCATTACAGGCTAACGTATTTGGCCACCTATAAACCTGCCAAGATTGGTGTTGGTGTCTGACAGAAATGAGGAGCTCTGGCAGCCGTGCTAACTCTGGCAGCAGTTAAACTCTGGCAGCAATTAAACTCTGGCAACAGTTAAACTCTGGCAACAGTTAAACTCTGGCAACAGTTAAACTCTGGCAGCAGTTAAACTCTGGCAACAGTTAAACTCTGTAAACTCTGGCAGCAGTTAAACTCTGGCAGCAGTTAAACTCTGGCAGCAGTTAAACTCTGGCGGCAGTTAAACTCTGGCAGTAGTTAAACTCTGGCAGCAGTTAAACTCTGACAGCAGTCAAACTCTGGCAGCAGTTGAACTCTGTCAGCAGTTAATCTCTGGCAGCAGTTAAACTCTGGCAGCAGTTAAACTCTGCCAGCAGTCAAACTCTGGCAGCAGTTAAACTCTGGCAGCAGTTAAGCTCTGGTAGCGGCTTGCAGAGCTGATCTTTAGGAAGCGATCTAACGAGCTGCAAATGACAGGTTGCGACTCGAGCTCTGCCCAGCCGCTGCAGGAACGCAACCAAGGCCCGAAATTAAAGACGTTCTAAACTAACATCTACAAATTGCCACCAAGGGGAATGGGTTCTGGCCCTCACCGTGGGCCCTAATTGAAATGGACCCATGGAAAAGATGGCCCATAAAATCTCTATTGCTTTTCTTGGCAACGCCATCTTCGCCGCCTCTTTTCTTATGAGCTTCTCATGAAAACAAAGGAATTTTGGTGAGAACTGACACATGAGTCGCCAGAACAGAGGAATGTTGGTGAGAACTGACACATGAGTCGCCAGAACAGAGGAATGTTAGTGAGAACTGGCACATGAGTCGCCAGAGCAGAGGAATGTTGGTGAGATCCGACACATGAGTCGCCAGAACAGAGGAATGTTGGTGAGAACTAACACATGAGTCGCCAGAACAGAGGAATGTTGATGAGAACTAACACATGAGTCGCCAGAACAGAGGAATGTTGGTGAGAACTGGCACATGAGTCGCCAGAACAGAGGAATGTTGGTGAGAACTGGCACATGAGTCGCCAGAACAGAGGAATTTTGGTGAGAACTGGTATATGAGTCGCTAGAACAGAAGAATGTTTGTGAGAACTGACACATGAGTCGTCAGAACAGAGGAATTTTTTGTGAGAACTGACACATGAGTCGCCAGAATAGAGGAATGTTTGTGAGAACTGACACATGAGTCACCAGAACAGAGGAAGGTTTGTGAGAACTGACACATGAGTCGCTAGAACAGAGGAATGTTAGTGAGAACTGACATATGAGTTGCCAGAACAGAGGAATGTTAGTGAGAACTGACACATGAGTCGCCAGAACATAGGAATGTTGGTGAGAACTGACACATGAGTCGCCAGAACAGAGGAATGTTAGTGAGAACTGACACATGAGTCGCTAGAACAGAGGAATGTTGATGAGAACTGACACATGAGTCGTCAGAACAAAGTTGTTCTTTTCAGAAAAAAAGTTTTATTTACCGTAACAAAGTTGTCTTCTTAGAAAAAAAATTGTTTTCATCGTAAAACAGTTGGATCGTCGGAAAACAAAACTCTATTGCACCTTTATTGTATCATAATATTTATAAGAAAGTTTTACTGAAAACAATTTACACATCAATTAAACACTTACCTTCCAACGATGGCCGCCCATGAGACGCCGATAGCAATGGCCGCCCATGAGACGCCGATAAATGTCCAGCAGTAAGACCTCAGGTCGGGCATCGCTAATCTACGGACAACAACACCACGCTTTCAGAATATTTTAACTCAAGGTTGGATTAAAGGCGGCCGAGCATTCAAATGTCACGGCCGCATATAACGCGCCTATAACTTTTGAGGTGGACACTATTTTTAATTGTTGCTGAATGGCCATCGATAATTCTGCGAATATTCGCAATCGGAAACTTTCTTCTGTGAGATACAAGGGAAATATTTGGCGTAGGGCGATTTTAGAGTCACCGAATAGCCATCTAATATCATCACTCATCTAATACCATTATCATACCATCTAATACCATCATAATACCATCTAATACCATCATAATACCATCATAATACCATCATAATAACATCTAATAACTTCATCATACAAAATAATACCATCAATATAGCATCTAATACCATCATGAAAGTTACAAGTTTTGTTGCGGTGATCGAGATTTACTACATTAAAAAAATATAAAGTAAAACAATCAATTTTTTTTCATATGCCACCAGATGGCCAGAGGTATTTCTTCGTCTTTATTTATATATTCATACCAATAAATTGAACACCAAAGCATACTCAGGGAAATAAATAGGTCATCATCTCTTAATAGTTGCCCACTTTATCACTCACAGCACGAATGCAGTCGTAGCACTGATACGTCTTTTAGCTGAACTGGGTCACGGTGACCCACACGTACAGGGGTAAAAAGTGTATCGCTATTTAGACAAAAATTCTTTCAGTTCAGTGAGTGATTGCTAGCTCGTGTCAAATGGCAAGACAATTTCTATATAATTATACGCATTTCCATTAAATTTCTATATAACTATACACATTTATATTAAATTTCTATATAATTATACACATTTATGTTAAATTTTTATATAAATATACGCATTTCTACTAAATTCCTAAATAATTATACGCATTTCCAATAATTTCTATATAACTGTACACATTTATATTAATTTTTTATATAATTATACGCATTTCTATTAAATTTCTATATAATTATGTTTTTTTCTATTAAATTTCTAAATAATTATAAACATATCATGCTTCATGCATCGTCGTGACAAGGACATCAGGTGTTAGCTTATCAGTAAGATGATTGATGATATCAGTGACATGATTGATGACATGAGTGAAATGATAGACGATGACATATCATCATACCACCTAATACCATCATCATAACGTCTAATACCATCATCATACCGTCTAATACATGTAATACCATCTAATACCATCTAATACCAAATAATACCCTCATGTAATTTACAAGTTTCGTTGTGGCGAGATTCTCTACACTCAAACAACTTGTAGCAGATATAGGCGGCGTATAGGAGGCCACCAGATGGCCGGAGGTATTTCTTCTTCTTAATTTCTATATTCATACGAATAAATTGAACCCCAAAGCATACTCGGGGAAATAAATAGGTCATCATGTCCTAATAGTTACCCACTTTATTACTCACAGCACGAATACAGTCGTAGCACTGATACGTCTTTTAGCTGAACTGGGTGACGGTGACCCTCACGTACAGGGGTAAAAAGTGTATCGCTATTTAGACAAAGATTCTTTCATTTCACTGAGTGATTGCCAGCTCATGTCAAATGGCAAGACAAATTATAAAAATTTATAAGCATTTCTATTAATTTTAAAAATAATTATACGCATTTTTGTTAATTTATATATAATAATACGCATTTTTATTAAAGTAATGAATAATAATACGCATTTCTGTTAAATTTATATTTAAATACACGCATTTCTATTAAATTTCTATATAATTTTACACTTTTCTATTAAATTTCTATATAAATAATATACGCATTTCCATTAAATTTCTATATAATTATACGCATTTTTATTTTATTTCTATATAATTCTACACATTTCTGTTAAACCTATATAAATATACTCATTTCTATTAAATTTCTGCATAATTATAAAATATCATGCTTCATCCTCGTGACAAGGACATCAGGTGTTAGCTTATCAGTAAGATGATTGATGATATCAGTGACATGATTGATGACATGAGTGAAATGATAGACGATGACATGGGTTATCGCATGCATGCATGTTTTAACATGTCTTGATCTCTCCTAATCTCGTATACTGTCAACAGGAAACATTTATGTTTATTGGTACACGATCATTCAAATACAGACAAACCTAATCTTTCTTATCGATCAGTTGTTTTATCGCTTCTTTTATCACTAAACTTCTTATATATGTAATGCATTTACTGCATCATCAATATCTCTTCCATCAAATTTATTGACTAAACTTTATCCACTTGATACAAAAACTTTTATTCAACTAACATTATTTTAAAATAAAATGTATGCTTAATACAATGTTTAAATACAATGAACTTCTACCCTGTATACATCATGGGCGGTATATGGGCGGCCGTCTTAAGTCACTCCTGTTTACCTGAAGAAGATAACAACCATTTAATAATTTAATTAAATTATATTTAGTTCTTCAAGTTTCGATCCTCTTGTGACAAGTTCTCTGAAATATAAGAGAAGTTGTTACGTAAATAGCGGAGTACGTAAAAGAGTTATACTGCTTGCAAAATGAACTTACAAATTCATATATGATTTTCTATTTTAGCCGGCTGGATCCACATGTGATGATTTTCATATATCCAGCCTGAGCTTCTCTAAATATCCTGGAAGATTCCTCCTAATATCCTGTCACTTGTATCTCCATCTCTAGCTTTTCCTCACATTTCACATGAAATATTTTTCCAAATATCCAGTCATTATTTATATAGCCACATATCCTGCCAGTATTTATAGCCACATATGCTGAAAATGTTAAGCCACATATGCTGACAGTATTTTACCTCATTTCGTGGCAGGATTCGTGCAGGTATCCTGCATCTGGGCAGGATTTCGCCCGGTCCTGTAGGCCTCCTTATCTCTGGGCCTAATTTCGAGACAGAATTTCAGGGCAGCCAAATGGACGCTGGTCGTCTTATCTGATAGTGTTGGGGCGGCAGGGCTAATGCCTCTACTTCAACCCCAACTCCTTGGGGCTCAACCACACACACTGCACTCCAACCCCACGCAATGCAGTCTAACCCCACGCAATGCAGTTCAACCCCACGCAATGTAGTTTAACCCCACGCAATGCGTTCCAACCTCACGAATTAGAGTCCAACACCACGCAATGCTGTCGAACTCCATGAAATGTGGTCCAACTGCACGCAATTCAATTGCTCTATGCCGGAGTGCTCTACGCCGGAGTGCTCTACGCCGTAGTGTTCTATGCCGGAGTGCTCTACGCCGGAGTGCTTTACGTCGGAGTGCTCTACGCCGGAGTGCTTTACGTCGGAGTGCTCTACACCGGNTGGAAATACACACCCCGAGATTGCCGGTGGAAATACACACCCCGAGATTGCCGGTGGAAATACACACCCCGAGATTGCCGGTGGAAATACACACCCCGAGATTGCCGGTGGAAATACACACCCCGAGATTGCCGGTGGAAATACACACCCCGAGATTGCCGGTGGAAATACACACCCCGAGATTGCTGGTGGAAATACACACCTCGTGATTGCCGGTGGAAATACACACCTCGTGATTGCCGGTGGAAATACACACCCCGAGATTGCTGGTGGAAATACACACCTCGTGATTGCCGGTGGAAATACACACCTCGTGATTGCCGGTGGAAATACACACCTCGTTGACATAGCAGCACAATGAGCGTGTATCTCGTTGACATAGAACACCATGAACTACATTACCGCGAACAATATATCTTATGCAAAGCGTTCATCGTTGCACCACTTCACCCTCAACCCTCAACCCTTTAACCCTCATCCCCTTATCCCCTTAACCCTTAAGCCCTTCAACCATTCAACCCTCAACCCCCCGTCATTATTAACAATGTAGTAACAAGGATTCAACCCCCACACCCCTCCCACCCCACCCCAGGCGGCAGCAGAAGTGTTTAGAATCTCATGCCTGCCTTGCCTTGAGTGGGACTTAATTGAACGCCTTGATGAACGCCTTGATGAACGCCTTGATGAACGCCTTGATGAACGTCCTACTGAACGCCTTGATGAACGTCCTACTGAACGCCTTGATGAACGTCCTGCTGAATACCTCTCGGTGAACGCCTTGATAAACGTTCTTATGAATACCTCGATGAACGCCTTGATGAATGCCTTGAACGCTCAGATGAATACCTTAATGTACGCCTTGGTGAACGCCTTGATGAACGTCTCAATGAACGCCTCAATGAATGCTCCAATGAACGCCTCGGTGAGCTCCTTGATGAACGCTCCTAGGCGCACGCCTGTGCTGAACGTTCCTACGTTCCCACCCCCGCCATTGTCATCACAATAATCATGAAGACGGCGCATGTTTTACGCATTTTGATATCTGCGCATTGTTGTACGCATGACGCATGTCGCATTGTCCAGCGTTAATTGACAGTATTATTATATCCATGGCCGCGCTATAGGTGGCCAGTCATATGACGGCTCGTCCTGTACACTCAGGGCTGCCAATTATACCTTGTTCATATTAATGTATTTATATATTCGTAATTATCTTCTATTCCTACAATTGTCTAGGGTATTTCTTAAGACTTATTCATTTATTTCTCAATAAATACTGCGGTAATGCGAAGTCGGGGGTAATTTTTTAGGGGGAGGGGAGAGAAGGGGAGATGATGCTTTATCTTCCTACTGAACTATTGTCTGATTGTTTGATTATCCTCTGAATAGAATCGGAATATCCTCTGATTATAGTCGGATTATCCTCTGATTACAGTCGAATTATTCTCTTATTATAATGCGATTATCCTCTGATTATAGTGTAAATATCCACTGATATTCACCCGATTATCGTCTAATTAATGTCTGATAATAATCAGACTACTGTCCGATCACACTGTAATTAACATATTATTATCGTCTGATAATGATTGAACTATCGTCGGGTTAACGTTCAATCGTCGTCTTATTATCGTCAAGTAACCGTCTAACTTCCGTCTAATTAACATTTAGTTACCGTCTAACTACCGTATATTTATCTTTAACTCAGAGGCGAATATCAGTTGGTTGGCCGGCGATGGCGCGGCCATAATATGGCGCGCGTCGATCGTGGCAGGAGACTTAAACGCACCAACAAGGCGGTATCCTGGATACCGTGTGAGACTAGACTCACCTTTTGACTCAACCCTTGACTCACTCTTTGACTCCTTGTCTCACTCCCTTGTCTCACTCCTTGACTCACTCCTTGACTCAACCCTTGACTCATACCTTGACTCAACCCTTGACTCAACCCTTGACTCAACCCTTGACTCAACCCTTGTCTCACTCCTTGACTCACTCCTTGACTCAACCCTTGACTCATCCCTTGACTCA